TGGGCCTGGTACTTTTCTGTGTGGGTAGTTCTTTGATATTTTTATTTCTTCTAACAAAATTGGTTTGTCTAGGCTTTCTATCTTTACTGTTTAATTTTGGCATATTACAATTTCCAGTAAATCTAGGTTTTCAAATGTATTTTCATAATACTGTGAAAATAATTACATAATACTACATAGTTTTTTGTTTCAATGGCTATACCCCTCTTACCATTTCTTATTTTGAACATTTCTGCTTCCTTTTTTTCTGGATTAGGTTAATTAGTGGTGTGCCATTAAATTGATTTTTCAAATGCTCAACGTATTTATTTATTTATTTATTGGTCTTATTGGTTTTCTGTATTTGACCTTATTGATTTCTGTGTTTAGGTTTATTGTCTTCCTTCTACTTTTCTGGTTTAGCTTTTTGACTTAGGAATCAAAGTCCTGTATAGTCTTTCCTTTATTTTCATTGTATAAATATTTGAAAGCTATAATCACTGATTTTGTAATGGGCTCGGATATGTATTGTTTTCATTATCATTTTTAGAAATTATTCAAATTAGCCCAATTTGTATTTCATTTTCCATTTCATCCAGCACTCCTTTTAGCACTTTAAATTTTCCAGGTGGAGGGCCAGCTGAGTGGCGTGTTGCTTAAGAGCTGGCTTGGGACGCCAGCTCTGAGCAGTAGGGCCCCAGCTTGGATCCCACATGGGCCAGTGACGCTGCGCCCTCTACAGCTAAGATGGTAAACAACAGCTTGACCTGGAGCTGGGCTGCTGTGAGTCACCAGCGATGGTGTAGACTGCAGTGGGGCTGCAGTGGGCTGCCATAAGCTACCTGGCAGCCGGCGTGAGTAGCTGGCAGCCAGCGTGAGCTGCCAAGAGCTGCTGTCAGCAGCCGTCAAGTGGCTGGCGACCGATCTGCCTCACCTGGGAAGAGCGCAATGATAATACCAACATGGGCAAGTGAAGTGATGTCCTCCACAACTAGACTGAAGAACAAAAGGACAGCAACTTGTCTGTTCTCCTCCCCCAATTCCCCAATAAAATCTTAAAAAAAAAAAATTCAGGTGAAGAGAACTGTTTTTTCCCCTGATTTTTAAGACCAATTTCTAGTATTATAGTATTTAATTACTATTATTGTTTAGTTACAATACTATTTGCATTATTTTTACTTTATTCTACTATTGAGGATTTCTTTGTGACATAATATGAAGCCAGTTTTCATGACTGAGTCTACATGTGTTGAGAAGAAAGTATATTCTCTATTTTTGAGTTGTAAATGTCAACATGAGATCTACCTTTTTTATTATATATTTTTAGGTTTTCCATATTTCTGCTTAATTTGATCATTAGGCCTGCTTAGCCTGAGAGACATATGTTAATGTTTCTTATTTTTATTGTTTTTTTTAATTGTGAGTTGAATAGAATGATTATTTCAATGCATTGCATTTGAAAGCAAAACAAATAACAAGATATACAACAGGATTCCTCTAAATGATACATTTATTTCTGCTAAAAACTTCCCTAGGTTCTAATCCAGGGACTGCCTCTATTAGTTTTCTGCCATTAGGCATACATTTTACCCTAAGCCCTCAATCTTCTCATGTGTAAAACGAGGTAAGTTATGGGATTTTTGAAAATCCAATACTTTAATAATACCCTCTTAAGCCTCTTTGTTACTAAAATAATTGCAATCACAGCTGTCATTTGTTGAGTGCTTACTGTATGCCAGGCTCTACGCTTAGCACTTTACATATATGATTTCACCGAATCACAACATATTTGTTTTAACTTTTCTTCAAACTCTAGAATGTTGGACTCTGATTCAGTTAGCAACAACTCATTCTATTGGCTCAGTACTTTAGGAGACCACCTACTGCATAAATTGGCAGTGCACACTTGTAGGTTGTTGGATACAACTTTCCACTTGAATCAGCAAAATGGTCAGAAAGATCACAGTGGTCAAGGGAGCAATTAGCCATTTATTTGTGTTTTAGTTTCCAGGTTTGGCAGGAAGCAAGACCAGAATGCGATAAGCAGCTCAGGCCTTTACAGGGTGTGATTGGACTCTTGGACAAAGGAAGAACTGTTTTCCTGGCTAGCTATTTTCATCCCAGGCTTATACAAATACTCCCAATGTGGTAAAAAATATCGTAGCAGAAGATTGTTCCTTGAGTTCCTCCGAGTTAGCATCCCAACAAAGAGTGTTTAGCTCTAGGCCAATCTCTGTTAGTCTTTAGTAGTAACATTGTTAACAACATAGAGGCAAGTAGTAAAATGGTCTCATCCTGCCTCAGATTAATTAACATACCTGCCCCTTCAAGTAAAGATACTTTGTGTTGTTCTTAAATTCACTTATCCATAAGGCCAATCATTTAACATTATTATCTCCTATTACCAATCAGGGTTGACAAATACATGATACTAGTAACAATGCCACCACCCACCTCCTCCTGTGCCCAAGGCAGAGAGTCAATTACTAATCAACCTTATACTCTTTCTTGCCAAACTGAAATGCAGCCCAACAGTCTTTCTTAACATGGCACCCAAGTACAAGACTAGAATTTGGTCCCAAGCTAAAATCCATTGCCTTTCTTATTTAGGCATTTCAGATATGAAGACAAGGAACTCACAGTCTGGTGTGGCATGCAGGAATATAAAAAAACTATCATTCAGGAAAATCCATGCTGTGACAAAGGAGTTGCTGCCTAACTTAGACTGGTGAATTTAGTTCCTTTAAAGGCATAAGGATTGTCCAACTTGCTTGAATGCCTCAGACCATGTTTTTTGTCCTACTCAGTATAATATGCTGGTATGTATTGAATGTCTGCTTCAGTAGTTGTCACCATATGCCACAGCATACTTGTGTACCAAGTCACAGATGCTTTCAGTTTGATCTGTTTGCAAAACTTGTGTTTATCAAAATTGGAGCTGGCAAAGTCTCTCAGGTGGGCCGTCGAACCGAGTGAATCTTTGCTATAAATACAGAGGCCTGCTGTAAATAATAGCTAAGAGACAGAGCATGACATCATACTATGTTATTGTACTATGTCTGTGTTTTGGTACCTGGGAGAACGTGGGCATAGACGGGTTCATGAAAACCCTTACTCTGCCAGTCAGAGGTGTAAACATATGAGCCATCCATTTACATGCTCAGTGATGCGTTTCAAAAGAACCAGGTGTGTCTTTGTTTGGTTTAGCATTGCATTTTATTTTCATTTCAAAGTATGGAGTATCTGTTTCAGTACTCCTGACATTAGTCTGATTTGCTGATTTAAAAATAGGTGTTGATTTAATAACCAAACTGGCATAGCTAGGCGATACCACAGGTAATTAGAAGTCTCTAATTGGGGACATCTGTAAACATTTTGAGACATTTTATTGTAGACTCTCTTAAGTGCACTAGGTACAATATGGAACAGCAGTCCTTTCACTTTGAGGTTTGTTGCATAGCTGTCTAGAAGGGAATGATAATTAAGAAATGATTAATATTTTCTCAAGAGACTGTTGCCATGATGATTTTGCAGTATGTCCTGGAAAGAAAGCAATTGAAGCAAATCGAAATGAATAGAATAAATAGAACAGAGAAGGAAAGTAGCATACAGTGCTCTAGAGACAGCACCACAAACCCTGGATCCCAATTTCTCCATGAAATTGGCTCTTCCATTTGTGTGTATTATCAGTCAAATGACCTTTTCTATGAAAAGACACTCCAGGACCAGAAGGACCTTCTTGCTTTATAGACGGTTGCTGTGACCCATGCCATTAGTAATAAATAATGCAAACCTAGGTAGACCAGGAAGAGAAGTGATACTATCAGAATGATTATCTTGGAATACAAGGAATGACATAGAGATTGGTAGTGTGCCGTTTTGTGAAGAGTTGAGCTACTGAACATCAATAAAATGTGCATTTCAAACAACTTACCTTAGTCATTCTGGTATTCACAGAGGTACAAGGTTTTGAAATAATTGTCCCAAATTGTGGGTACAATTTACACTAATTTTTTTACATTAATGTATATTAACTGAATTCACTATCAAACCTCTCATCTCTGCCCCTTACCATTTAGCTTGGGTCATAAGCACGGAATTTAATTAAGGAGTCCCGGCAAGATGGTGTAGCCATACAAGATACATGAACTTGGACGCATAAGAAGTTAAATTTGATTGAGATACAAACTCAATAGAGAGATACTTTAAAGTCACTGCTTCTTTATGTAATAATAGTGAGTTGATACAATACCTTTCATTTAGGACCTCGAGTGGCTTAATAATACTGTAATAGCAGCACGGTAGGTAAGTAGGAGTTAAGTGATGTCATATTCGGTCCAAAGGCATTGAGTAATTTGCTGGAAAATCAAACTGGTACCTGCAGGACAGATTCCCAAGGATCCAGTTTCCGCTGAGTTACAGACCTGGAAATTGTATATCGTGTCATGAGATTATAGGATTGAGGCCGTTCCCCACTCCCCGGCGCCCAGCGGGAGGGAGGAATCCAGTAATCTACGTTAACAAGCGCCTCCCGGTCCCTCCAGGTGACCCTCGTGCCTGGACCACGCTATCGGAAATAGTGATCCAGGTTCTTAAGGCCATCTAATCCAAACTCCTTTACAAAGGGGCCATAAAGGCTAAATGACTTCATTATGGTCTGGTGGTTAATTCGAATATCTGCGTTCTTACCCCCCACTTCAAGACCCAGAAGTGCAGGAATGTTAGAAAAGTTCCTCGACGAAATTGGCCAGAAAAGCTTTTAGGAGTGAGTTTGCTGCACCCCCGCATCCCTGCTCCCCCTCCCCCCATTAACCTGCTATTTTGAGTTAGCATCTCCCTCAAGCCATCTCTGATGTTCCAAAACACACAAAAAAGTTGCAGCCCTGGGCTGCCTCGGGGCCTCCGGGGGGGAAGAGGGCTGCCCCGCCCCCGGAGCTCGCGGGCCCGCTCGACACTGGCCGCGAAGCGGCGAGCGCGGGACTCGGCGGCCGGCGGCGGGCGGGGAAGGCGTGGGGCGTGGTTTGCAGCTTTGCGAGCGCCAAGGAGCGGAGCGCTGTCTGCTACCCCGAGCCTTCCTCTGGACCGAAAAAGGGAGCGGAAGACCAAGCAAAAGGGTCGGCCGAGGGAGCAAGGCGAGCGGGGCGCCGACCAGGGCCAGCCCCAGCCCGCGCCCTCGCCCCAGGCCCGGCCCGCAGCGGGTGAGCGCGGCTGCGGGGCCCCAGCACCCGGGTGAGAACGGGCTGGGGCGGGCGGGGAGAGAGAGAGCGAGGGAGGGAGGGGGCGGGGGCGAGGGTGGGAAGGTCCCCAAGCCGGGGGCGGCGGCGGCGGGAAACGGGAACCCACCCGATGCTGGGGTACGAGCCCGACCCCGGGAAACTTTGCCCGGGTGGGGAGAGCGGGGTGCGTGGAGGGCGCCGCAAACTTGTCAGCGGGCGGGGCGCTCCGGGATTGGAGCGAGCGCCAGCGGGTGGCGTTTGTCTCTCCGGCTTCTTTGTGTCACCTCCGAGCCCCAGACCGCCCGTCCGCCAGGTTGAGAGGGGGGCTGCGCAGGGGGCCGCGCAGGGGTGCTCGGCCCTGATCCCTTCCACCGTCCCCATCGGGCCCAGGCCCCAGCGCTCGGGGGTCGCTGATTGTTTTCGTTCCTCCGGTCACGCCTGGGCGGGAAAGATTTTGAACGCAGCGTGAAACAGAACGCGGAGAGCCGCGGCGCAGAGATTGCCAAATCGTGGACGGCGCGAGGCTCGCCCCGGGGACCCGAGGACCGGCGGGCGGGGACGCCCCGGGCTGGAGAGGGCGCAGGGACCCGCCGGCTCGGGCACTGGCGGAACCGCGGTAGGCGCGGCAGCCGAGCGCTCGGATTATAATTCCATTTTGATTGCTTGGGGTCTTTGTTGTCTGAAATTGCCTGAGGGTCTGATGGTAGCACTGTCTCTTCCTGAGGTTATTTTTCTTCGGTTCAGAAAGAAGCGGGGGGTGGAGGACTTGTGGGGAATCAGTGCTGCTCGAAACATTAGTCTCCTTATTTGATGGAGGTTGAGGAGTCCTGTATAACATTTGCCTTTGTGGACGCCTGTTATTTCCGAAAGTTATTATTTTCCCCTCCCCTAGTGGAAGGGAGCGCCCGAGCTAAGTGCCAGCAGGCACGCTGTGTACGAGCACCAGCAAGTCAGAGCCAAACCGAGCAGGTCCTTTCTAGCCGCTCAACACTTTTGCATCGCTCTTGTCCTTTTTAAAGTTTGTTTGATTTCGGGCAACTTCCCTGATTTTCTAAACGTTTCCATAGCTCCAAAGTCCTCCTTGCAGATATGTGGTTGTGCTGGGCTAGGCTTGACCACTTTTAGGGTTGGGGGTCACGATGAAACACCCGAACCATAGCTGGCCCTCGACTCCCTGCCATTGAGACATTGTAAACATCCTCAGGGGAGAGTGTTCATCTTTTATGAGATGGAATATTTGGTGCGTTTTTATACTTTTAAAACTCCTTTATATAACTCCTCGAGTTTTCTTTCTGGAAAGCTCTGCTGAGACTCCCAAGGGCTTTCCCTCAGAGAATTACTGTAAGTCCTTACCCACCCTCACCGCCCAGCCTCCCGCCCCTCCCCCATTCCACCCCCCTTCAAGCACGCCTAGGGAGAAGGGAACAGGTGTAACTAATCCTCATTAAGTTTTTTCGTGATGAAGACTCTGGGTATGTCTAAGTAAAAAGCGGAAATTCTTAGTTCTTTGTTCACATGTTTGCGTTAAGGACCTTCATTTGAATTCAACAAAAAATCAAAATCAAACCAGTTTAAGTCCGCGCAGCCTTGTACATTATTGTTTTTAAAAATCATGGGAATAAGTTTACCCAGCTAGACATTTTACAAGCATCTCCGTGCATAAGTGATAATTATGTTTGCAGGATGTTGCAGTCTTTTTAGAGAACTGAGTCACAGGGCGTTATTCTAATTAGAGCCCTCAGTAGCATAATGTGAAAGTTTAATGTAAAGCTCAAAAACAGAATCAGTCATGTTTTAGTAAGTAAGGGAAAGAGTGAAAAGCAATTGATTCATTTGCCATCACTCATGTTCTAAATACAGATAGTAATTTCGCAAAAGTTTGTTCGTGTACTTAAACAAGCTTTCACCATATGCCAGCCACTGTGCTGGACTCGGGGGTGCCAAATAATAATAGTTACCATTTAGGGAATGCTTGTTTTGCACCAGTAAATGCTTTACGCTCATGTAATATTTATTGAGTGCCTATGATGTGTCGTGTTAGGTGCTGGAGCCTTATTGCACAGGACAGCTGTAAGTTCTGGTGCTTACCTCGTGGGAACATAGAAAACATTACCAAACTAATCGCAGGATTTAAAATGTAAATCAGATTACACCACTCCTCTGCTGAAACCCCTGCAGTGGCTCCGCACCTCCCTGTGAGTGAAAGAGGAAGACCTGGTAGGGGCCCCCAGAGATTATCCTGTCTGGTCCTCTTCCTTCCCCCATCCTGTCACCTTTTTTATCTTAACCGCTGCTCTTCTTACTCACACTTCTACCACCAAACTAGCTCCCTAGCTGTTTGAGTTCCTTTGAAATTGTTTCCTCTGCCTGGAGTGCCCCTGCCCAGCCTCCATATCTGTATGGTTCTCTTCCTGACACCCTTCACTTTACTCTGTTAAATTCCCAGTGAGCCTTCACTACAACCCCAGATTTAAAATCACAGCTCAGCCACCCCCCACCTGCAACTCGCATTCCTCCTTTCACAACTTTTTTTCTCCATAGCACTGTGATCACCTAATTAACATACTCGCTATTTTCCTCCTGCGTTCCTGGTCTGCCCTCCCCCACTGGACTATACACTCCATCAGTGCTGATGCATTCGTTGTTGTATCCTTAGAATCTGGAGTCATCAGTGCCTGGCATACAGTGAGTCCTTAAGAACTATTCATTGAATGAATGTTGCTGAATGTAAAGAAGGGTACAGCAGGATGCTGAGATGCGGAATGACCAGGGGTTCCTATGTCACCAGTAAGAAGATTCTCTGTGGAGGTGCCATTGAAGACGAGACTTTGATAAGAAGGCGCTAGCCATGTTGTTGTGGGGTAGGAGGCTGTGGAGAGGAGAAAGCATGGAAGAAGATTGGCAGAGGAGCTAGTACTGAGTCAGAGAAGAGCTCAGGTGTGTGGGTTTATTGGTACTGAGAGAAGCTCGTTGTGGCTGAGCACTGTCAGCTCAAGGAGAGAACTATAATATAAGGGGGAGTGGTAATCAGGTGAAAGATCATGCAGGGCCTTGTAGGCCAAGGTTTGGATAAATTCACATGGAATTCTTGTTATGTATCCTATGAGCCCATTTTATAGTTTATAAAACTGGACACCAAGGAGACTAAGTAACTTTCTGAGGTTGCAGTAGGTGAATGGCACAGCCTAGGATAGGAAGCCAGGCTCTCAGACATAAAAGCTCTTACACTTGACTGCTGCGACAACCTCGGAAGGCATGGCTCCTATCCTGATGGAGCTGTGGGGGGACGAGCCATTGCAGTATACACGTGGCATGCTAGAAAACACGTATTCTTGGGGGGCTGTGGCAGGAGGGAAGCACCTAATTCTGCCTGGCAGTGGGACAGGCCAAACTGGAAAACAATGAAATCATTTTTCCTTTATTATTATGAAATATTTCAGATTGGCTACATCTTCAGAAATAACATTACTGTTAAATGCTCTAGCACAGGGGTTGACAAACTGTGGCTTGCAAGTCACATGCGGCTCTTTGGGTACGTTCCATCTCAAAAGTTTGCCGACCCCTGGAAGGGCCAATTCTATCCCTCACAACAATTTAAAAATGATTCGAGAGCCATAAATATATTTTTACAAATAAGGAAAATTTAAAGTAATATTATAAATGAAACTATGATAGTTTTATTTTCATTTTCAATGTTACTTCAGAGCCACATGTACATACCCAAAGAGCCGCATGTGGTTTGTGAGCCGCAGTTTGCTGACCCCTGGCGACTCTTCCGTCTTAAAAGTTTGTCGACCCCTGCTCTAGCCTATTCTTTAGAGCTTCACTGTTTGTTCATTTTTTTTTTAAAGATTTTTATTGGGGAATTGGGGGGATGGGAACAGTGTTGGGGAGTTGGGGGAAGGGGAACAGACAAGTTGCTCTTGTTTTGTTCTTCAGTCTAGTTGTGGAAGACGTTGCTTCATTGGCACCATCATTGCGCTCTTCCCAGGCGAGGCACATCAGTCGCCAGCTTCTGGAGGGCCGCTCACTGCAGCTGCTGGCTGCTCACGCTGGCTGCTGGCTACACACAGTAGCCTATGGCAACCCACTGCCACAGGGGCTGCAGCCTACACTGTCGCCGGCGACTCAAGGCAGCCCAGCTCCAGGTTGAGCTGTTGTTCAGCATCTTAGCTGTGGAGGGCAGTGTCACTGGCCCTCATATGTGGGATCCGAACCGGGGCCCTCTGGCGTCCCAAGCCAGTTCTTAACCATCGCGCCACTCGGCCGGCCCTTAATGTGCATTTTTAGAACTTTATATAAATGGAATGATAAAGTATGTTCTTTTTTTGGCCTGGCTTCTTTCGCGTAGCATAATTGTTTTAAGATTCATCCATGTTGTGTGTATCAATGGATCGTTCCTTTTTGTTGCTGAGTGGTATTCCATGTATGAATCTATCCTAGTTCATTTATCTGTCTACTCATTGATCGACGTTTGGGTTTTTCTCCCAGTTTTTTTGCTATTAAAAATAAAGCTCCTGTGAACATTGAACATTATGCATAGTCTTTGTAGGGACGTCTGCTTTCATTTCCCCTGACTAAATGTCTAGGAGTGGAATGGCAGGATCATACGATAGGTATATGTTTCCAAGTGGTCATACCATTTTACATTCCCAAAGTGGTGTATGAGGGTTTCAGTTGCCCTGCATCCGTGTCAGCACTGGGTACGGTCAGGCTTTTCATAGCCATTCTACTGGATGTCTAGTGGTACCTCATTGTGGTTTTAATTTGCATTTTCCTGATGACTAATGATGTGCTTATTTACCATCCACATATCTTTATTGTTGAAGTTTCTGTTTACATTTTTTGCCCATTTTTTTTGATTGGGTTTGGTCGCTTCCTTATTTTTGTGTTTTGAGAGTTCTTTATATTTTCTGGGTACGAGTTCTCACATGATTTGCAAATATTTACTTTCAGTCTATTGCTTGTCTTGCATTGTTCATCTTACATTCTCTTAACAGTATCCTTGAAGAT